CCCCAAAACCCCAAAACCCCAAAACCCCATCAATCAGAATAGAGAAAAAAAGAGATATATTGATAGTAAATTAATGCCAAAAATACAGAAAGTAGGTCAATTTGCTTAGATTTAATTAGTTAAAATACATTATAATTTTCAATAATATAACTCTATAACTTATTTGAATTGCACAGATGGGTAACAATCAATAACTATAAAGAAATGATTAATATGCTTTATTCAGAGAAGATATTCCTAAAAAGCAAGGATATTCGAATGAATTAATGTAAGTTAACCAAAGAAATTTATCTTAACCAACCTATTAATTGAAATAAGATAAAAATGTAAATCATTTTCATAGTTGCATTTAAAACAAGAATGATCCTGACAAAGCTTTTCCAAAAGATTACTATGGCAGCAAAACACTTCTTGAACTATTCGAAAAAGCAATATCAAAGTTTGGAGACAACAAATTTTTGGGTAGTAGAAATAATGATAAAGCTGGAAGGCCTTATGAGTTTAAAACATTCAAAGAAGTTGCAATACAAATGGATGATCTTGCTTAAGGTAAATTCAAATTTAAATAAAGTTTATAATCTCCTACATAGGAATCTTAAATCTAAATCTGAGTCCTGTAATTCAGCATAATAATGAAAACTGGAGATTCATGGGTATATTTTCCAGGAATAGAGAAGAATGGGCACTAGTAAATCTGGCATGTATGAAGATTTCTATTACAGTTGTACCATTCTTTGACAGTCTAGGGTAGGATTCTTTGGCTTTCGTAATAAATTAAACAGAATTAACCACAATGTGCATTGAGGAAAAAAACTTTGAGATTTTACTGAAGCTTAAATGCGAAGGAAGAATATAAAGCTTACAAAGCATTGTAATGTTTGATAAACCTACTTCAGAATAAATATTAAAGGCTCAGTAGTCAAATGTTAAGATATTATAAATGAGTAATCTTGTTACCTAGGGTCAATAAAATAAGTAAAGTTTGATTGAACTTAGACCAAAATCAGATTCTATATATATGTTCTGTTATACATCAGGGACAACTGGTGGCCCTAAAGCAGCTATGATTTCTCATTATAATCTTTTGGGAATCCAACATTAGCTGGAGTACATGAAAACTTATAATGGAGCCTAGCTACACGAGACAGATGTATTTATCTCATTTTTACCACTAGCTCATATTTTTGAACAGGGGAATATGCTTAGATCATTTTGAGATGGTTATTGTCTAGGTTTTTATAGTGGTGATCCACTTTAGTTGCTTGATGACTTAAAAGCCTTAAAACCAACACATATTGCAGTAGTCCCTAGAATTCTTACTAGGATTTACCAAAGAATAAATGATGGAGTGAGATAGAAAGGTGGATGCTCCTAATATCTGTTTAAAAAGGCAGTGAACTCTAAAGTCTCAAATTACAAATCCAAAGGTGAATTTAAGCATAAATTATATGACAAAATCTTATTCAAAAAGATCTAGGCTTTATTCGGAGGTAATCTCAAGACGATGATGTGTGGATCTGCCGCAGTAGATCCCAAAATACTTATATTCTTCAAAATAGCTCTTGGCATCAATGTATATGAAGGATATGCACAGACTGAAACATCACTGATTGGAACTACTACTACTTTATTTGATAGATCAACTGGTCATGTTGGTTCTCTTTCTGATATCATCAAAGCTAGATTAAAAGATGTACCTGAAATGAACTACTATCATACAGATTTGCCTCCAAGAGGAGAACTCTAGATTAAGTGTCCAGGAAACATTAAAGGCTATTTTAAGGACTAAGAGAAGTCTATAGAACTATATGACGAGGATGGCTGGCTTAATACAGGGGATGTTGTATCAGTTTCACCTAATGGTAATATTCAAATTATAGATAGAGCTAAAAATCTTTTCAAATTATCTTAAGGGGAGTATATAGCGCCAGAAAAGCTTTAGAATCTGTATTCATAAGCCCCTATTGTACAACAGATTTACATTCATGGTGAATCTTCAGTTGATTATATTGTAGCAGTAATAGTGCCAGATCCAGATTAAATAAAGAAATTCGCGTAATCAAAAGAATTATCAGTGGATGATTATGATACACTTTTGAAATAGAAAGCTGTAAAAGATGTAGTATTAAGCTAGTTAAATGCGTTAGCCATAGAATTTAAGTTTTCAGGTCTTGAAAAAGTAAAAAAGGTTCATTTAACTAGCATTCAATTTAACACTGACAATGATTTGGCAACACCAACTCTTAAGGTTAAGAGATTTAATGTGAGAAAATACTTTCAAAAAGAAATAGAATAGCTTTATAATTAGAATGATTCTATAATTTGAAAGAAGAAATCAAGTTACAGATTATTATTGCTATTAGATTTAGATTTTATTATTTTATTACAATTGACTGACAAATAAATTGTGCGGGGTTTTGGGGTTTTGGGG